ATCCCTACAAAACCAATACTTGAAAGTTATTGTAATTCATGAGCAAACAGAAGACTGAATATACACTTTGCCTCATAATCTATGATGTACGTCTATTTCATTTTCAATAATAGCATGTGGGTATAAGTGGATGGGATTAGGATTAGGCTCTCATCTATGTTATTTCCTAATGGATATCCTCTTATGAAATTCATCTAGTTAAGTGAGACAGAGAGAGAGAGAAATAAACAAGCGGCTTTGAAAATTTCCCATAATATCAACGAAATGTAGATTTTCTTTTGTAAGCAGGAGCATTCTTAGATTTTCTTCTAATCTCACTTACAGAAAGATATGAAATGATTATAAATCTATAAATAACGCATGTGTTGGTCTAAAACACTCAGATTTACAGCTAACATAGATGTCTAAGCCAGCAGTTACCAATAAATCATTATAATACCTGTGCAAAAGATGTTGGTGCTCTTCAGGAGCACATATCCTGTTCACACTTTCCGCCTCAGTCTTTGTTAGTAGGCCTCACAATTGGCGACAAGCTTTCATTCCCTTCCTACACTACCTCTTCATCACCTCCAGATATCGAATTAGTCTTTTCTCACCCGCGTCCCGGCTGAAAGCCTGGCGTGCGATATCACTCAACGGTCTTCATAGAATGTGTCCAGTCCGCCATCATTTCTTTCGGCATTGGTTTCTGTTGGCTCGTTCTCAGAGTTCCTCGTTGCCTATCCTTTCCAGCCAGGTGTCTGTTATTCAGCATCAAGCAAAAACAGCTGTTGACGAAAGTCTGCAGCCTATTGTAAATGTCTTTCGTGAGAAGTCTATGAACTATGCAGAAGCACTGATTAGACATTGGTGTTGAAGATCTGAAACTTGTTCTTTATGCTGAGTGCAGTAGCGTAGTTTAATACTTTACTTATTAGCCTTCTTTTCCGCTTGTGTATAAAACTATTCCATGATTTAACTCTTTTTCATACCTACAACGTGCTATTTATACAGTCTCAATTTTTAATTCTCTTACATTACCAGTGGAACATAGGGCTTCAAGCTAGACCTTTGAAGTTTCGGTAGCACCCGTGTTTATTTTTACGGGATGGGGTTGCTAATATCGTAGCTAACCTTCCTACTTTACTAATCTTATTGTTAGCTTACCGAGGTAAAGGAGTTAATCGTCTTAAAGCGAACCCAAAAACACATGAAGTCTGGTTGGCAAGCATTCTACCACTCCAAAACCTATGCATAAAGCAATGGAATCTACGAGATTTAAATATATAAGGAAAGCATTCAAATAATCGGTTCACAGTGTACACATGTGTTTAAAAATCGTTCAAGACGGAAATCTAAACAAAATCTTCTTTACTATCTGTACTCACTTTAATGTGTGATAATCTTTCTGTTATCACTTACGAAGAAGATCAAGGAAAGATCCATAATCACACCACTGTTTGCCCCTCTAGATGAACAGGCAGCTAGCGATGCAGCAGTTCCATGTCGTGAAGCTGGGACCGGACATAGACCCGCCAATGTTGGAGCTGAAGCTGACGAATCTATCGGCCTGCTATTTAACTTTGTTATGACGATGAAGGTGTCTACTACTGAAAAATCTTATCAGTAGCACACGCCACATTCAAACTGGTGGGAAAGGTGGAATGTTCTGCCTCATCCTCATAGTATAGTGGTGGTGTGTGGATGAAACACTAATCGTGTTGAAAATGCAGCATATATGAATCAATTTCTTGAACACACCAACTCAACACTAAGTAAAATTCCATTCACTTATGATTTGGAAAACCACGAAGAGGTACTTTCAATTTCTGGGTTGTATCATGAAAAGAAAAGCAAGTTAGGAAAGTAAACTTTTGTGTTTGTGGGAGACCCAAACATTCAAATACACATCTCCACTTCGCTCTCTTTTCTGATGTCCTCTTCAGTTGGCCCCCCGATTAGCTATAATCTCCCATCTCTTCCTCCTCGAATGATCTCCTCAATGTCAACCTCACACCGACGACCAACTCGTCGCTTCCCATTTGATTTCCATTCGACGGCCTGGAGCGTGATATCATTAGATGATCTTCCCAACTTATTCCCGGTCAATCTATCTCCAAATTCTCATACATATTTGTTGAGCAATCGGCTCCTGGTTGATATGTTCCTAGAGTTTCCTTTTACTACTTCTTTCTGGCAGGCTGGTCATTCGATCTTCAATATGGAGCCAGCGGAGAAAGCAGCTGTTGATCAAAGTCTCCAACCTGTTGGAAATGTATTTCGTGATGCACTGGCCAATTGTCTCACCCACATAGAAGAGCTGACTGACTTCTCATTTTTGTTGAAAATGCTCATTTTGTTCTTCATGCTGAGGCGAAGTGCAGAAGATTTCCAAACTAATTACAGATTAACGAAAGTCTGTCTGTCTTTCTGTTTTGTCTTTCCGATGCTGATCGGTCTTTATATATTCATCCGTCCAGCATGAGGCTGAAACGATGCTTCCTAGAAAAAGTGAAGGAAGTAAACTCTGACAAATCTCTCCCGTTGATAGTGTAGCGGTAAATAATTCCCCAAAATTATTGACCACAGCAATCACTCATTGGATGCTGACCACCACTGTTTAAGTCGACTTGTTTAGCTGAAGGCTTCCGGTCAAGCATCCCGGCCATTTGGTACCTCGTCGTGTCACGTGCACGATCACTAGCTAGCTAAGCGTTCGTCTAACGGCTTGTTTTGGTCCCAAAATATATCTCTTGGTTTGGACGATCAATTATTGGCTTTTGCTTTGTTTTTGGTACGCGAGAATAAATTAATTAGAAGTTGCTGAACGAGATATCCGTCAACCCTTAAACTGGTGAGCCCAACCGCGAACTTCATCCACGATAAATCCGCAGATAACCCCGGTGAGTTCGTTCCATTTTGTATTTGTTCTTGTACCATATATTATTCGACATAATTTTCGTCATGAGTGATCTTAGTCCCAAGGTCATTCGTATCCGCTCAACTCCTAAAACCATTCAGCTCGTACCATACTGGCCAGATAATGCTGAAACGTGGTTTCTGCTAGCTGAAGCAGATTTTTGTGAGCATGGGATAACCGATCAACGTTCACAGTTACTTGCAGTTATTCACGCCCTACCGCGGGAATTCAGCAAGTACGTAACATCACAGATGTTCAGTCCCGAGGTAAGTAACTCGTACGAGTTGCTCAAAGCATCCCTCCTCAGGAGAAACGTTCTCACGGACCGACAACGTCTAGATGAATTATTTCGTAACATCGAGTTAGGAGATCAGTCAGCCGTGAGCATGCTGACAAGAATGAAAGAATTTGTTGGCCAAAGTCAGTTCGACGAAGGACTATTTAGAGAACTCTTCTTAACCAAGCTGCCACAGTCTGTACAGACCGTACTTGTGACACTTCAGGGTACTAGGATTCTAGAAATAACTAAACGGTCAGTTCCCGAAATATGCTCGATGACTAAGCAGACTTCGAGTAAGGATCCTGCAATGATAGAGTTATGCAACTCCATCCAGCAGATGTTTAGGTCGAACATGCATTCTAACTCCTCCGACCGTCGTCCTAAATCTCCTCAACGCAGGAACTCACGTGGTCGATCTAAGTCCAAACCACGTTCACTGAAAAACCCTGACTGGTGCTGGTACCACAACACCTATGGCCAAGAAGCGAAGTGTTGCCGTAAGCCTTGTAACTTCGGAAATGTCTCAAAGTCTGCGGGAAACTATCCCGCCGGCACGCGTTAGCGGCAACCGTCGCCGGTGGCACTAGCCGCCTACTTTACATCCATGATGTGATAAGCCAGACTCGATACTTAGTCGACACAGGCGCCGAAGTCAGCGTCCTTCCTGCTACAGCAGCAGATCGACAGAAGGAACCTACCTTCAACTTACAGGCTGCAAATGGAAAACCAATCGCAACCTTTGGTAGGAAATACGTCTATCTGAACGTAGGTTTACGCAAACCTATTCGGTGGATTTTCCTTCTCGCTGACGTTACAATGCCCATCATTGGCACGGACCTACTTAATCATCATGATTTACTCGTAGACGTCCGCCGAAAACGACTGATTGACAATACTACTAGTCTGTCTATCAAAGGCATCAGCTACATAGGCCCTAGTTTGTCACCCGTTAAGATAAAGGCAATCTTTGATCCAACTTTTCAACCTATGGTTGACAAGTATCCGGAACTTAATTGCCCGTCGAACGACCTACCGTGCATAACCAGCAATGTTATGCACCACATCATTACCACAGGACAACCTGTGACATCTAAAGCACGACGATTAGCTCCTGACAAACTGAGAATCGCCAGGAATGAATTTGACCATATGCTTACCCTTGGCATCATTCGACCTTCGAATAGCCCATGGGCATCCCCACTTCATATGGTTCCGAAAAAGGATAGCAACGATTGGCGACCCACCGGTGATTACCGGCGAGTGAATGCCAAAACAACCCCTGATTGCTACCCGTTGCCTCATATACACGACTTGACGGCAACCTTATCCGGCGCGACTATATTCTCCAAAATCGACTTGGTTAAAGCGTATAACCAAATCCCGATGGCAACAGAAGATATCCCGAAAACGGCTATCATTACGCCTTTCGGACTTTTTGAATTTCTACGTATGCCATTCGGTCTCCGGAATGCAGCCCAAACATTCCAACGCTTCATTGACGAAGTATTTCGCGGTCTCGACTTTGTATACGCATACTTAGACGACTGCCTCATTGCCAGTCCAGACAAGGAAACTCACCTTAGGCACTTGGACTTGGCATTTGAAAGGTTACGCCAACATGGTGTTACCATTAATATTCAAAAGTGTCAAATCGGTGTTGACTCACTCGACTTTCTGGGTCACACTATTGACTGCAAGGGCATTCGCCCACTGGCTACTAAGGTCGAGGCTATACTGAACTTTCCAGAGCCACAGACGGTGAAAAGTCTCCGCACTTTTAACGGCTTAGTAAGTTATTATCGACGCTTTATTCCCAACTGTGCCTCTTTGATTCAGCCATTGACAGACCTCCTTCGAGGGAATAACAAGTCCATAGAACTTGACGCGTCTGCTCGAAATGCTTTTACCCAGATTAAAAAAGCTATTGCGAATGCCACACTTCTGATGTATCAGGATCCAACGGCACCGTTAAGTATCTCGGTTGATGCATCAAACACTGCAATCGGCGCAGTTCTACAACAGCTAGTTGACAATGAGTGGCAACCACTCGCCTTTTTCTCGAGGCGCCTTCAATTAGCTGAAACGAAGTACAGCACATTCGGCAGAGAACTTCTGGCTATGTACTGTGCTATACGACATTTTAGACATTCGGTAGAGGGTCGTGAATTCATAATTTTTACGGATCACAAACCTCTGACGTACTCTCTGAACTCACCTTCAGATAAGTATTCACCCAGGGAATCACGACAACTGGATTACGTCTCACAGTTTACATCAGATATTCGCCATGTATCCGGAGTAAACAACACTGTGGCAGATGCCTTGTCGCGCGTTTGTTCCCTCACCCAAATCGACGGCATAGACCTTGTAAAACTGGCTCGTCTTCAAAAAGAAGATACCGAGCTTCAACATGAGTTGTCGAAAACAACTCTACAATTAGCTGAGAAACCCTTAGGTATGGGAAGAGATACTATTCTATGTGACATTTCCACGAGTACTCCTCGCCCCATCGTGCCTAAAAGTTATCGCCGTAACGTCTTCAATACGTTGCATGGCTTATCTCACCCAGGTATTCGAACTACTGTCAAGCTCGTAACTAGTCGGTTTTGTTGGCCTGGCATTAATAAAGAAGTAAGGGAATGGGCACACACGTGCTTAGCTTGTCAAAAGTGCAAGGTGATAAGACACACCAAAAGCCCACTTGGCACCTTTCTTCTCCCTGACGCTCGTTTCGAACACGTCCATATAGATTTGGTTGGACCCCTTCCTGAATCACATGGATATACCTATATTTTAACTTGCATCGATCGATTCACACGATGGCCGGAAGCAGTACCCATCAAGGACGTATCTGCTGAAACAGTCGCACGCGTCTTCGTAGAAAGATGGATCGCTAACTTTGGATGCCCATCTTCCATAACAACTGATCGCGGGCGGCAATTCGAAAGTGGCTTATTCTTCGCCCTGACTAAAATCATAGGTTGCATGCGATTTCGAACAACAGCCTACCATCCTCAAGCTAATGGTATGGTAGAACGTCTACACAGACAGCTGAAAGCTGGTCTGTCAGCTGCAAACACCACCCATTGGACTGAATCCCTTCCGTTAGTTCTCCTAGGGATACGAAACGCCTTGAAAACCGATGCTGGTTGTACTAGCGCCGAGCTAGTATATGGCACGACACTGCGACTGCCTGGTGAATTTGTTTCTCCCTCGAGCTTCCCACCAGTGGTAGATCACGCTTCATACGTCAGCAGGCTTACAAACGCAATGCGTTCAGTTAAACCTGCTCCCCTTCGTCCACAGTCCATTGATGTTTTCGTTCATCCGTGTTTGAAAACTTCTTCACATGTATTTGTTCGTCGCGACTCTGTGCGCAGACCCCTGGAACCCCCATATGACGGACCTTATAAGGTAATTAAACGTTCTGATAAATTCTTTGTCTTGGACAAAAACGGCCGCGAGGACACCGTCAGCATTGACCGTCTGAAACCGGCTTACTTGGAGGGTAATCCTATTAGCATAGAGCTGAACGTACCCCAAAATCCACAAGTAACAGAAGATCGTTTAGACATCGATGAAGTCACTAGCACAGCGACAGCTACCGAACCTTCTATCGAGCCTCCCAAGAAAACCCGTTCTGGACGCACCGTAAGGTTCCCAGAATATCTGCACACTTATTTGACTTAACGAAGTCGTGTGATTCACGCAACTCACTCGTTTGTGGTACTAACTATTTTTTTTGACGTATCAATTTTTTTTATATATACAGTACCACCGAAAACAAAAATTTTTTTCAACAGTTCATGTAACATACACAAAAAAAATTAATTAGATGTATTTTTTTTCGATGTTCTGAACTTAGCATTATTTTACTGTATAGTAAATGCACATCATATTTTTTAACCAAAAAGCTCATTTCGTACATTTTCCTCGACATGGTTCTTAGCGTTCTTGTTTTCTTTTCCAGGTGCGACGGGCACTGGACAGGAAACAAACGAAGCACGGAATCCAACGAACAACAACAAGGAAGCTATGTACAAACACCCTATTAGCATAGGCAGACAAACCAGTAGGCATACCACCAAGCCGCTCGGAAGATTTTTTTCACCCGAAAGGGAACCATCGAGTTTTTTTACTTCCGGCTGGTTCTGTCTTAGGGTCCTCACGACCCCACTAGGGGGGAGTGAGCTGTAGCGGTAAATAATTCCCCAAAATTATTGACCACAGCAATCACTCATTGGATGCTGACCACCACTGTTTAAGTCGACTTGTTTAGCTGAAGGCTTCCGGTCAAGCATCCCCGCCATTTGGTACCTCGTCGTGTCACGTGCACGATCACTAGCTAGCTAAGCGTTCGTCTAACGGCTTGTTTTGGTCCCAAAATATATCTCTTGGTTTGGACGATCAAATATTGGCTTTTGCTTAGTTGTTGGTACGCCAGAATTAATAAGTTAGAAGTTACTGTACAAGATATTCCGTCAACCTCTAAAATAGTGTTTGGTACTGGATGTTATTGTGGGTTGTTGGCTATCTTTCTCAATTCTGTCATTTATATGTTCATGTGTACCACTGTCTTCGTGTTTGAGAATTCTGCCAGTTTGTTGGAATTTCCATACAGGAATTCAGATTTGTGTGAAAACTAAAACAATCATCTGCGAAGTTCATACCTTCTAGGGTCTTCTAATTGGTCCAACATATTCCTATCTCATCGCTCGCCACAGTCTGATGCATAATCCAGTACACCATAGTTAAGAATATCATCGTGGGTAATAATATGTAGCCTTGACTTACTCCTGTATTCACTTCGAAGGCTCAGTATTCAGTACTTTGTGAGGACTACATCTGGCCCAGCTCACTTCCCGGCAGGATTCCAAAAGGTTGATTGAATTCAAGATTTCTGCATTCATTGGAGGATTATGTCAGTGTTTTGGCCTATTCACGTTCATTCGTGATTGCATGATATGTGATTGTGTGTGCGTCTGTTTTGGTATGTGTGTGTGTGTGAAATGGATTTCCACTTACCCCCTCATACATTCACAGCATTATATATTAATTGATGCAGCCTAACATACGTGAATATGGAAAGATATTTTATGCTGACATATTGACTGACATGGATATAGAATCAGGCATCTATGTGCGTTATAGCGCACCACAGATAATTCCGTAGGCTGTGATGAAGGTGCTATGTGATATGGAGCGAATGTTTGTGTGTGTGTGTGTATAGACCGACAGACAGGATCTATCAATAAATCAATGGATAAGTCAATCGGCATGATTGGATTTGGTGATTGATTGGAGGAAAGAATTTGCCCTGCTTGTCGGTGGTTGAATGCGCGTAGAACGTGTGAAGTACAGGTGTGAGTTGATCGGAAGCAGGCTGACACTCAATGGTTATGGTTGTGCATCAATATGCATTGGGTTTGAGTGTCGATCAAGTGGATAGGGGGAAGGTGTCTACTTGTCGTTTAAGACCGACTGATGACAATCACCGACACAGTTGGTGAGTGTTGATCAAATCGTCCGAGTGAATGGAGTAGGCCTCGCCGAGACTCGAACTCGGGTCGCTGGATTCAAAGTCCAGGGTGCTAACCGCTACACCACGAGGCCGACATCCCGCCGACCAAACACACATTATTCCCGAGCAAACTCTAGTAATTCAAACGTCATCAACACTGTCGCGCCACCATCCACACACACAAACACACACACAACCACCCACTCTTCCACTCAACCTCTCACACACAATCACATAAATAAAACGTCACACAAACACATCGAACTGTCCTTCATTTCAGTATTCCAGTAGACAGATTTTAAATGATGCTCCACCCTACCAACAAATTTCGCTATCACAGCTACAAGAGCAATGACAGCAAAACAACAACAGGGACAACACAACCTACAATAACAACGTCACAAAAACGACAATACTCATTTTTCCAGGAGTTTCTCAACCTATGATGAATTCTCTTCTTGTATTTTCTGTTCCCAATGTGGCATTCATATCGCCCATATGGATTTTGGTGTCACCGTGCAGAATATTGTCCACTATTATTTGTAGTTGTCTGTAAAAATCTTCCTTCCTCTCTTGTTCCGCCATGCATGTAGGTGCGTAGGATTGGATTATTGTGACCTTCTTTCCTTTTTACTTTAATCTTGTTGTCATAATCCCATGAGATATTGGTTCTCGCTGCATCATGGCTCTCGCGGTCACTGGCGACATCATGATAACCACTCACTGCCTAAGTGTGATTGTAGTCGTCCTCTGGGCGGCCAGACCGGAGCAGATCACTCAGTCTCCAGTTGACAGTTTCGACAATCAACTTCTATTCCATTTGCTCTCTCAGATACCCAGCACTTCTTTGCCATATCTCCTGATTTCTTTGGTTACCTGGGCAGCCTTCCCAGTCTCGTGCATTGTAAGTAAACTCCACGTCCCCATTCTCATTCATGCCTTTATTTTCATTTATTTATCAAGTGAAACTTTCGAAAGACTTAAATGCAGCCTTTCTTAGCATCTATTTGGTTATTCAACGCTGCTTGTCATTTATATGGAAACATTGAGATGGTGAGTAACAATCTCTTCTATTTAAGCTGTAGTAAGCACATAACACAGATGCACTTCAGTCCCACAAATTGAACTAAATGATTCACTTGATGATTGTCAATGTATCTTCAATGACAGTTTCTCAAACAATAATCTACATTGCCAGATAATTGCGTATGTGCAGGTAGGCATCAGACAACACTGTGACAAAATATATATCAGTGATATCGAATTTTCGAGTTTCCCTAGAGAGAATGAAAGACGCTGTCAATGTAGTTGAAGATTGAACGATCAATTCATGGTTGTTCGCTCAAACCCAACTTCCCCATAATTTTCGCGGAGTCATCAAACCAGCAGTCATCGTCTCACCGGTCGCTGTTCAGAAGGAAGATTAAAAACCTATCAGAAGTAATATCGTGATTTATTGTTATGACATTTGTTCTTAGACCTCTGTAATAACAGTATTGTTGGTTATATGTTGACGTTAGAATAAAGGATTCGTGAGTCGCCAAGCAGTGTTTTGGTTCTTGCGTCGGTAAATACTAAGCCTTTCTGAATGTCGTCGAGGGACATCCTGAGGCCCAGCGTAGCAAGAGCTGGACACTGACAGTTTATGAGACTTGACTGACCGTTTCTGATAGTTTGTGAAAATTTCTGATAGTGTTTGGATAGGTTCCGTTCGTCTTTCCTGGTGCTTGCCAGTCTTCTTTGGACAAGTATTATGTTGAACTTTTCTGGAATTTCGGTCAAGTTCAATGATGCCTAGGTCAAAGAGGGAACGAAGCGTCTTGGAAGCAAGCAGGAAGGTAAGTGATGCTGAGCTGCTTGTTAATTGTAATGACATGTATGATGCTCAGCATGATGAGTCTGTTGTTAATGTTTCTCAGTCTAGGGATAATAGGCCTAAATTTGATCCTGAGTGTTTTGACGCAAACCTAGCTGACAATTTACAGTTTGTAAAGGAGTTTGAAATCATGTTGAGCAGTGCTTTATTAAATGATGAAATGAAGTTGATGTATTTGATGAGGTACTGCATTGGAGTTGCTTCAAGAGCAATACAGTGCTGTGAGTTCATGCCCCCTAACGAAGGATACTCTGAGGCTATGACTTTCGATGATCGTAAGGAACGTATTCGAGGCTGTTAAAGGTAATGGTAGTCAAGTACGAGATGACTCCAAGGCACTCTCTGAGTTTTTGGATAATCTGTTGACTTACAAGAGTGCATTGATTTCTACGAATTGCATGAGTGATCTGAACTCAAGTTCCTCTCCATTCTACACAAGCTTATTGGTTAGTCATTATCTCACACCTGTTAAGATATGCTAACTTCTGTCTCCTTTCTAACTCACAATTAGTCATCCCTTCTTACACCTTACATTATGTAGTACAATTTTTAAAGACAAAGTTTACCAGTATCTGATTGGTCTAAAGACTTCTGTGTTAATTTGAATTACGATTGTACAGCTCATGAAAATGAATCGTTGAAGGGGAGAAATTTTCTTCGTTGTTTGTGCCTTTTTTCTTATAAGGAACGCTTTCAAATAATCGGTTCACAGTGAACACATGTGTATAAAAATCGTTCAAGACGGAAATCTAAACAAAATCTTCTTTACTATCTGTACTCACTTTAATGTGTGATAATCTTTCTGTTATCACTTACGAAGAAGATCAAGGAATGATCCATAATCACACCACTGTTTGCCCCTCTAGATGAACAGGCAGCTAGCGATGCAGCAGTTCCATGTCGTGAAGCTGGGACCGGACATAGACCTGCCAATGTTGGAGCTGAAGCTGACGAATCTATCGGCCTGCTATTTAACTTTGTTATGACGATGAAGGTGTCTACTACTGAAAAATCTTATCAGTAGCACACGCCACATTCAAACTGGTGGGAAAGGTGGAATGTTCTGCCTCATCCTCATAGTATAGTGGTGGTGTGTGGATGAAACACTAATCGTGTTGAAAATGCAGCATATATGAATCAATTTCTTGAACACACCAACTCAACACTAAGTAAAATTCCATTCACTTATGATTTGGAAAACCACGAAGAGGTACTTTCAATTTCTGGGTTGTATCATGAAAAGAAAAGCAAGTTAGGAAAGTAAACTTTTGTGTTTGTGGGAGACCCAAACATTCAAATACACATCTCCACTT